CCGCTTATCTATAGCACTTCCCTCCCCTCCCCTCCCCCTCGATAGGCCACAAAACAGCGCTAATTTAACTGGTTAGGATTACGAGAGAATGGGTAGAGATGGAGGCCCTCCGTATTGCGACAGAAATAACACCAACTGCGGACAGCCAGGAACGGCGCTTTCACCCATAGGGGTGTATTAGACGGATATCGCTCATTGCCGTTGTAGGCGAGACTACTGTTGAAGTCACGTGGATGACTATGGTAAAACAAATAACTTCGGCTGGGTTTTCTTTGGAATTTTTGGCAAGGGTTGAGTACGCTGTCCTGATCCTAAGTGTAAGCCGAATGGGGACATTGAAAGTAAAGTAAGCCGAAAGGGGATGCTGAAATCGGTATTGGGGAAAGTAGCCGAGGCCGAAACAGAAAAGACAACCTGATGTATGACGAATATGCCGCGAAAATAAAGGAAGACTAGAATCCCCGCAAAAGACCTGGCTGACAGGAAACGCGGAGCAGCAATACCCAAACCCCAGCGGCAAACTTAACCGTAATCTCAAAAGTAAACCTGATCCCTGACGTAATTATAAACCTAACGCTAGCCCTAAACTTAACAATAAACCTAACCCTAAACCCACTTTAAACCCTAGCCCTAAGCCTGGCCTTGATCTTGACTCAAGTCCAAACCGTAACCTTGAACATAACCGCAAGCCTAACCGAACCCCAATCTTAGCAAAGACGTAAACCCAAACCACAATTCAAACCCTAACTCTAATTGGAACCCTTAAACTTAGAACAAACCCTTAGCCCAAACTCAATTCTCAGCCTGACACTAACCAAAACCCTAACTCTAGGCCGGGATATCAGGTTGTCTTTTTCCGTTTTAGCTTTGGCTACCTTCCCTCTAACGATTTCAGCATCCTCCTTCGGCTTGCTTTAATTGAAATGCCCATATTGTGCTTAAAATTGGGACCAGGACAGCGTAACCGACCCCTGCCGAATTTTTATCCGAAATCGTTCCTTCACGCTCCTGACTCGCAAGTTCCAGGCCACAGCAGCCAGCGCCAGCGAACACCAATGAGATTCCTGCATGAGCCTCGAATTAATTGGTCCCGGCGCCTGTAAACCATGACGCAATGGCTGTCGGCGTGTCATGCAACGTTCCTCTCTGACCGAGTTAATTTCATCGCTTACTGCCTTTAAGGCATAGCACTTAGGCAACGCTCATTGCATGACACGAAACTTGAGCGGATCGACTTCCTTAGGCCCCGTGTGACTATGCCGTCAACGCTAGAAATGTGCTTGTGTTTAACAATGCTATTGGATGGATTGCAGTATGATACCCTTACAGTTTACATAGAAGCGTGCGTAGTGCTGCCTTTAACCCACAGAGGCTCCACCGACGGTTGGACTGTTCGTTTAAGTCGGTAAAATAGTATCATGCCGAGTAAATGAGAGATCGCAGGTCGTCAGGTTGAGTTTATTTGTCGTTCGGCGATTCGAACTGTCGAGCCTTGCCCATTTTTGAAGACTGGACACTCAGTTAACAACCGGGATCGTTTCCGTCAAATTGTTGTTGCTGTGTTGTCGGTAGCCGCCGGACTGCGCTTGTCGAAACAGCCTTTGGAAGGTGCTTGTCTAGCGGGCGGTCAATTGAGCCTTTCAAAGCTGGTGTGTTGGATGAGGCTTAACTGAGCTGTAAACTTGGTCCAGCACAGATGGTTCCGGCCGCTTGAATGGAGTTTTTACCGTCTGATCTAGTTAACTTCCCGCTACATTATAGGGGGTTCTGTTGTAATTTGTAAGGATTGATCCCCCCTTAGTTATTCCGACGAAGTTGGTAATTTGAGGAGAAACTTTTTACAGTAAGTGTCTTATCTCATGAACCATGCCTTAATCAACAAAACATATTAAGCAATCTGAAACCAGTCCGGACGCATCCACCAAAACAGCAAACTGCAAATGAACAACCTTCAGTTAAATGGAGACACAAAATAAGTATCACAAGTACTATTCCATTGATGAGAAAGGACGACCTTTCAAGAAAAGTGCAAATGTGGAAGGCGCAAAAATCCGTCCCACATGAGTAGACTCAAATTCTAGGAGTACATAATGGCTGCCTATGCAAAGAACTAAGTGAAGTGGCAATGGCACAGTAACGTTTGTGAAGTTATTTCTTTGCATACGCTTTCCTCCAAAATTGGCGTTACATTATGTCTAGCACAAAGTCAAGTGCGGAATGCCTGGTCATGTTTTTCAAGATCTTGTCTCGCAGAATAAATTACTTTTCCGTTTCTGTATTGTTAGATACGCGGTTAATAAAAGCAAAGAGGATTTCGCTGATAGGGATGCCAGACGAAAAAGCTTCAGTAAGTTCATATATTGACAGGCCGGCCAGTGACTAGAAAGTTTGAATAGAATTAACTGGCGCGATCGCAACCGTACCATTTTGTGTGTATCGCAGGACAGTCTTCCGTCAAATTGATTTGCGGTATTTTCTAGTGGTGGAGTATGTTGAGCTTTAATTCATCAGTGAAACATCGGTGAATACTTCGCGATTTTCAGTATCAATCAATTGCCTATAAAGCTAGATTTGATGCTGCGTATCTGTCAAAAACTTAAAAATGCGACTTCTTGAAGGCGTTTATCGAAGTGGTGAGATTGTGGGCGTTTTTCCACGCAGGTGGCCGTTTGAGCCGTACTTTAAGACACCCGAACATGAAGCTTCATTGTAGAAAAGAATGAACCTCACTACAAAACCCAGCGATGGGTAGGCTTTCGATCACTTGAACAACTTTCTCAAACAAGTTGACTATTGGGAGGGTGCTTCACTCGTGCATTCTCTCAGCTGATGTCCACTTACTTTGCATTTTTAGATGGTAAGGCTAAGAAAAAATTGGCATTTTGGCCGTTTTTCCAGAATTTGGAAACGCACTGGTAATCTTTCTGTCTCGAATTGAAAAAGCTACTTTTCGCTGCCTTGACTAAATTTTGGATTTCGAATGCAGAGAATAGTGACTATATAAATACTGACGTACCGAAGAGACTGTTAATGTTTTGCCTGTTCCTTTTATAAATCACGTATAAGCAGAAACTATACCGCACAAAAGTTCCTTTCTTTATGTTAAAAATCCAACATGGTCATTTGGATGATCCGACACAACGTATTCGCGAATAGCAAGACTATCGGCACGTTTACAAAAATATTGCCTGCAGGCAAGAAGGCCCGTGCAATAGGTGTGACGAAAGAAGTAATAACGATCGATGAATTACGTCTGCAGGCGAGCCGAGTTCCGGGAACGACCCTGTATTATCAATCTGAAAAGCAGAGTTTTCCTTAAGATGCCGAACACCTGAATTGCATAACTGGATTCCAGCCTTTTTAAAGCCGACTGCATTATAGGGCGGCGGTCGCCGACTGCCTGTCTCGTGCGCGATAATCCTCCCTGAAAGAATCTCAAATGTTCGGCTGGCTATAGATTGGGCTGCACCCGTGAGCAAGGGCACTACGCCTGCACCATGCGGCGGCGCGCACTGGTTGGCCAGCTGACCGTATGCGTGCATTTTGCTGCCGTCTTGGTCTGTTGTGCCGCAATCTTCCGGCATTTGGCTGTTACCTCATCCTAATTCCATCCTTCATAGCAACACTCGACAAATGCAACTGCCAAAGAGATATGTAGCCTTCACAAGCTGGAGTCATAAAGCATATTCTAAAATTAATCTAGTATATAATGGGAAAAAGCACAGTATAAAAGAGGCCATAATGGGACACCAAATGTAGACAAATTTAAACAGGTGGCGCAGCCGATGGCTAAATGCGAAAGTGTCTACCATGCAGTTGATTTCCATACTGTATTTACTACTAGTACTATTTAACGGTATTGATAATATTTGATCCTACTTGCCTCGCTGATATCGCGTATTGCACCATCTACTCATAACGCTGTGCCGCAACTAATGTTGACAGCTCGACCCACTCTTACTCAACGACAGAAGCCGAACATCGAAGGCCAATGTATCACATCCGTGTCTTGGCCGTCCGTCTCGACCCATGTGTTGGCTGATCTCTCAGACACCTCCAGTAAAGCACCACTATCGCATCGAGAGCTGCGACACTGAATCTAAGAGCAAATGACGAAGGACGTGTCCAATCCACATCAATCGACTTCCTTGTGTGACTGAAGATATCCTTACGGACTATCTCATTTGATTACGGAGTCAGTGTATACTGCCTGGAGGAGGATTCTCTGGCAGCGGTGGTCATATACCTCGAGACTTCGCCATCCACGCACACAACCTGGCATTCATTATCGTGCGGGAGGACCGACCGGACTGATGCCCTGTACACATGCATCACAGTGTCGTTAGAAATATCGCATCGGACCCATAGACACTTTCTAAGATAGACGTAGCTCAATGCATTGGTCTTCCCATCATATGTTGATAAATGAGCTGCTTTAGGGGTCTCATTAATCCACGGTATCATGGTTCCTCATGGCTTGACGCTAGCAGAGCAGTATTCTGAGCAAAAGGGAGGTTAGTCAGCTGCTCCGGGGTGCAAATCCGACACCGTCAAAGCTGCGCGGCACCCTGCCGAGAATCCGACCAATGACGTGGTTGAACAGGACGGACGAAAGAGTGCGACCCTAGTAAACGCTAGACCGAATATCGATTGGCTGATTGTTGTAAATCAGAACTGGGGTAGTGACGAAACGGTGTCAGGTATTCATAATGACGATCGTTTTTGCGTATAATGAAGGCGACTGCCCGTTTCGTTAGCCATGCTGAACAGTAGAATGTCCCAGTGTGAATGTGTGGTTGACGCGGTCACATCCAGCTCTGGGCGCCGCTTGGTTACGTCTCGTCCCAGCGTCACACACCGAAGCTGCCCAAAAGTGGCAGCGATAGGGCGTTTGCAGCTTTGTGGGCAGAACTTGCTTCCTAGTAGTTCCCACAATCTTCCTTCTCAAAGACAGGCACATGGGTGACGGAGCTCTGCCTGTCGGGAACGATCTCATTTCCCTATGGTTGTTCAATAGCCCCAGGAAGCAGGAGCGCCAGAGTGTCGAAACAAGACTCATAGACTTTATCAGCCATGCCGTCCTCTCTGGACCACTTGCCGTTGCGCTGTGTCTGTGTTGCATCGATGCCTGTTCCCTGTGGAGGGCAGTTGCTCGTTGTTAAGCCAACTGGGGAGGAGTGAGACTGCTGCAGATGAAAGCCAGGAGACGATGTGCTTCTCATGGAAGCGGAAGTGGTGCTTAGTGTACTCATACTGGACAGACGACTGTAGAACTTTTTCACCGGTCTAGCCATTGCGGCGCCAGTGAATGAATCTGAGGGTTTCCTCGGATGTCTCTCAGGCTAGGTACTTCAATGGTGGCAATTTGCTGCTACCTCCTTTTTTGAGTCGGACAGCGGAGCAAGACTGCGTTTCTGTGCTGAGGACTTCGACAGTTTCGGGTTCTTGTAGATTTGCGACACTGATGCGTCTTTTACGATTCCTTTTGGACTCATTCGAGAGGGAATGTTGCAGGTGTGTTTGGGAATGAACAGGGTTCTAGTCGGAAGTTGTGGTCAGACTCGGCACCAGACATTGATCTGCCGTCGTAAATATTAGCTGCGAAATCATGATCTGTCTCAACTGCAGTAAGGCAGCCTGGCCACACGAGCAGTCTTTGAACGCCAGGTCGGTGGGGGTCTTCGACGATGCCGGAAGCACGTGTTGGTAGGGAGTAGGCGGTTTCCTTCAGCAAGGAATAGCATTCCGCATTTTGGCATTTGGAGGCATGACTAACGCGCTCAATGAGACGATTGCTCGAAGAGTCACCTGGTTCGTTTCGGCTATTCTAGTTCCAGACAACTAATCATTGGGAGGAATTCTCTCAGCCAGTTCGTTCAAGTACGTGGTGAAAATTCCTTTTTCCCTCTGTTTGGATATCAGTGATAGCGCTCGGGCCGAGACGACGGAATTGTTTGTATTGTTGTTGTTGATTGGCCTCTACGCAAGTAGTGCACTGCCCATCTGTTGCGATAGAGCGACCGGCACACCATATCGTCAATCGGTAGTACAAAATGATTACCGCTTCTGAATACCAATTTATGGTTTATCCGCCTTTGATTTGCGTGCGAATGGCTTCCGACGACAAACGGCTCGGAAGGCAGTGCTTTATTCCCTCGGGTTTTTGCTGGTTATGTATCTATCTATTGCTCTTTAATTCACTTAGGGCACAGTCAATAAATTGACGTGCCCTAAGTACTGTTGTGGCACACTGAAAGCATATAAGCCTTCGCCGCTATAACGCGTCACATTAAGTGTCAAACAATCACCACTGTTAGTTTGTTTAAGCGCGTTTAAAGTAATGGAGCTGTCGGACGAATTATAACGACAGTTCGACCGCGGTTGTTGGGGATTTCCACCGCGTGTTCCACAGCAGGGCGGGAACAAACACGATGACTTGTGCGTGAATTAGTTCATGGTGGTAGTGGACTTACGTAGCACGTACTGAACTCTTTTCTCTTTCCCTACCTGGGTGCGGTGTCCAGGCATAGTCAAGAAGGTCGAGAACGGAAGTGGACGCAGGTGGCTGGCACGGCCGGACCCGCACATAGGCGGGCCACCACACCCTCTGGTCCACGACAAACACTTGACCACGATCGTATACATCAAGAAAAGAAAACGGGGAAACTGCTCGGAACACAAATTGGCGGGGCGAGAGTCTGCAACTGGGAATTCAGCAACAAACTTGGACAATAATACGCACTGACCAATATTTTGACTCGAACCAAAACAAGGGCGACGGTTGGTGCGGCCGGGGCAGTCTCGAGGCATACCGCCATACTCGGTTCGGACAAGGTCATTGGGCAGCTGTGCACACGGCCTGTATACGCAGGGGGAGCGCAAACGCATCCCCTGGCACGGAATCAGACGCCAGATACCTGCAAGCGAACACCAGGCTGCGAGGGCCATGGTCTGCTGAGGCGTGGCACAGCATACCCACGCAGTCGTTAAAGTTCGCATTATAAGAGAACCTAGACAAACGTCGGCTACACATACAAACAGTTATCGGTTGGCACTAGCTGTAATTGCATGCTTCGAAATCTGGTCGCACTCGTCCACCAATGAATGCATCCCTTTTGGTAAAAAAAACTCCTAACTGCCTCAAAATAGTTTTCGCTGTTTATTTTGCGAAGTTTGAACGGCACATTTGAGTGTTTGTGACGCACAACTGCATGAAGTATACGTAATATTTGTTGGGTTTGCTCTAATTGAAAGTCAATAAGGATTAAGGTTATCAGTAGTTTCACCCAAACCTTACCCCAACTCAGGCCGCAACTCCTACTTAACGTAGGCAGTCAGTTGCTGGTTTTCAAGCAATGCACACACGCCATACTTGCCTTGTTTAATTCCCGAGGAAATTAATGCGCGAACTTGGAGTAAGTCCTTCGAAACGGGCCTTTTCAGGCACGGTCCAAGTTTGGACTGTTTGGTTTTCAAACAATGCATACACGACATAATTAGTCAGCATCCCGGCCTACTTAAGAAATTAAGTAGAAAGGCAGACAAATGTCAAGAATTCCAGGGGAGAGACTAGGTGTCGGTTACTAAGGCGACATTGATCCTCAGATTATGCGGAAAACACTCGTGTGAAGACAGAAAAACTAGTGTCACATGTGTCCGCATCATGCGATAGTGAAGTGGTAGGCAGATAAACTCAAGCCATACGGCATAAGCTAGCACCACGTAGGTATCGGTATACCTTCGAATTCTTTGACGTCAAGTACTTGAATGTGAGCAGAATGGCTAGGTTCTCGCTAGACGTCTCATCAGTCTTCACAAAAACGTCCTGGTCACCGAGATAGTCGATTGCACTTGCGAATTACTATCGGCCAATCGGAATACCGACGAACGCACCCAATGAAAATTATACAAATGCACGTTAAATGTACAGTTCCTTTTTAACACCCAACTACATACACAAATAGACTTCGCTGATATAAGCTCTCCTCCTGGTCAAACTGGAGAAATTGTAGATCCGTATGCCAGATCAGTGGTTTAAGTTACTAAGATCGCTATGTCTATGTCTATCGGGGTAAAACATGGCCCGGACAGTATATGAGCTTCAGAAATTTCGCACCCCTTCAACAGATAAGCAACCTAGTCCGTTTGTTTACGAAAAGGGCTGGAACAGTTTGTTCGGCAGACAGCATCGTTAAGGACATTATAGAGATCCATAACCTGCTTCTCAAGAAGGAGTATCCTGACTGATTTATTGTTAAGAATATCATCGACGGGACAGCGAAATCCATCACACTGACTGTGTGAGAGTAAATTCTCCAAAGCCCTCTTTGAAGTTGACATCGCTGTAGGTGCTCGATGCTGAGGGATAGCAAGTTTATTGGAAACTCTATAGCTCACCACTTTTCGTTACCCATAGGTTAACTATGACGTTAGTGTGTTTATGTCTCGGTTACTTACTTCAAACAGCTTTGGGTAATTTTCCTTCAGTCCCACCTGGCCCGGATTGTATGCCTGACCTGAAATCCACCAGCCTTGGCGAAGTATGCACATAATGCAGGCATTCCACCAACACGCAGCGTGTAACATATAGATATATGGTTGGCAACCGATCTCATGAAATTTTAGTCCGGATTCTGAAGTGCTCTTCCGATCTGGGAAAGATTACTTAAGTGAGTTTTCGATGTCGACTGTCGGACAACATAATCCCATAATATTTCGGAGTGGTCGGGCTGCTGGCGTTTGAATGACCTCATTTTCGGCCAACTGTAAAAACTGCGCTCTACGAAGTGACTAGCTTATTAGTGTGTACTTTTTCTATCGACCTTCAATGTCCTTATAAATGCAAGTATATTTTCCAGAAGAAAGGCATAAATTGTTTCTTCCTGCACTCATCAGGCAGCAGCTCATGATTTCTTCAAGCCGCATACTCGCGAGATCTGTGCTACTTCTTCGCTAACCTGTGGAGAGAAGACGTACTCTTAAATATAAATGCGCTTCGTAGAAACATAGCTCAGGTGGTTACACATATCCGTTTCCTACCCCCTGACTAACTGAGTCTACCACAGGGTAGGACCAGGCAATGGGATTGGAATACTGTTTACCTCACGGCTCGACTATTCTTTCGAAGGGACAATGCGTGGGAAGTGTGACAAGCGATCAGGATGTGGAATGAAGATACGTAAACCACAGCAAACCTTGGATAGCTATACACNACGGCGGTGGTGTGAGCGTTTACACTGTCAATGGCCGGTACCTCCGAGGGGAGAGTGGTAGTCGTCGACGCAATGGCGTTCTGCCCAGTAACAGTTTCTGGGTGTATCGCGCCATCAGCCGAAGACTGCAAACATATCAAAAGAAATCGCCAGGGTAAATAATATTCTTAAAAGGTAGATGCAGCTGACAGTGGCCGAATATTATGGGCAATAATTAAAAAGTCCATTTTAAACTAACAAAGGACCCGGTTTATACCGAGAACAGCTGGAGGCAGGGACGAAATGTACAAATGAACAAGCAACCAAGAGCACTGTTTTAAGTACCTCACAATACAGGAAAGTAAAAGCACGGGTATTCAGTGGCGCTGATGTAGCGCGTGAAGCCTCCGTCTAACGCGTTCTACAACCGCAACAGCTCAGACGTCGCGGACGATGCCCACAGTGTGACCCACAGCAAGTTGCGCGTAGGAGCAGTAACTTATAATGATAGTAGACTTGTGCTGCATCCATTGGACTCTCTCCTCCCTTTACTCAGCTGGGTCCGGTGTCAAGACATAGTCAAAAAAAACCGGAGGCGGGAGAGGGTGCATTGGTTGACAAAATCAAACAACCCGTCTACGCGTGCCACCCACGCGACCTGGTCCGCGCCCAATAGACCGGGTTTCCACACAACAAGGCGAGGGTCAGTTCGGATCCCAACTAAATAGGAATGCCACAGAGGCTAGTTGGCAAACTTCCAAGCCCCGGATGTTAGAGCACCGTGGAAGAGTACAGCGCGTCAGAACATTAATAGTAGGGAATATGTACTGGGTAGCGTGGGGACGGAGTCGAACTCACTCAAATCTCACTCAAGAACCGGTCCACTGCCCGGACTGGTCAGGCATCTGAGACGGGGATTGGGTGCAGGTGGTTAGCGCACCGTGAGCCTACGCCTAGGTGTCACCACACACCCTCCTATGTTTGGAATTTATTGCGGGTGCGCAGCCCAAATAATGCGTGCCGTACGCCGATCTGGTCCCCGTTTTGGTCCAGTGCAACTGCGGCATAGCTCATTGTAGGGCGAAATACAATGTACGAACCGGTCAGTCGTTCGATGCGCGGATTGGGCGCAGAGCTAAGCAGGCCGTCAGCAGGTGTCGCAAACGACCGGGTATTACCGCAGAAGGTACTCAGCTCAGATCTCGCATGCACTAGTGCACCATAGAGGCTAAGTGGAGAAGGATCCCAAAATCATGCATCATTAACTACGTTGGCCAATTTAATCACACAAGTATCCTGAAAGTGGCGAGTAATGTTTTAATGATTAGAAGACGAGGTGGCGAGCACACATAGCTTTCGATAAATTCTTGTCGAGCCAGTACAGTTATACAGGAACGGGGTAGAAGTAAAACATGTCAGCGATAGGAGAAATCGATAAAAGTTCTCCTTAAAACACAAGCGGAGTGTGGGAATGTGGCGGGGGAGGGGGGGATTATAGTAGTCATTGTATGCTCGCCACTTCGTCTAGTGATTACTGCTATGGGAATTTTCGCAACTCTAAGACATTTTTAATGATTGTTCACATTTATGTGGATTTGGCTGAACCGGTCTACTTGACACCGCATTGTGCAAGGGCAGTGACGATCGGAGAAGTAAAACTGATGAGTCTCTGCCTGGGTTCCTGGCGCGATGGACCCGCAGGCGTAGGAGTGTTTTTTGACATGAAATCATCAGTAACCAGGGTTGACTTTACCATTGAATCGTGACTACGGACAAAGAACGAAATGGGCATTCTCGACTGCAGCCGACGGCGAGCCCGCTAATCCGGCTTGTGAAGTTTTCACACAGATGCTCGAAGACCATTTCATCCAGGTCCAAATCTTAGGTATCTCAGGACTTAGAGAATGGTTTGCCAATAACAAAAAATAAGCCTTATTTTCGTCGGCTAGATTTCTCGACTGCCTTCGACGAAATGGGACTGAAGAGGTCTAAGACAACATGGAATAGCTCGTATTGCATCCAGTATTCGGGATGAATAGTAGACGCCACCATCACGTGATATGTATGCCTTAAGGAACAGATCTAACAAAAATGTGACAGTTTCGCCCTAGCCATTTCCCGGCCCGCAACTCTACCGGCTGAACGTACTAGCGCACACCCGAGCGTCCTATACTATTCGGCCACGGTAAACTGGCAAAAGCAACCAGTATGGAAGCCAAAGAATAAGTGGAAGGAACTGAAATAGGTGTGCTATCTCATGAAATGTTAGCCGACATTCTAAAACATGTTTTAGATCTGAAAAGATATTCCAGTCATGCTAGGATGTGGGTTTTTGAATGAACTTGTCTTCGGCAGTCCGTAAAAACGACACCCTGTAGAAAAAAACCTACAGTAGATGTAAAGGAGAAGGGGATTCGGGCACCGGAAAACTTTGTTTATTGTTCTGAGCTTTCGAACTCGTGCAGGAAACCATCGTTAGAAATAGTAGAAACAGAAACAGTAGATTTGCTATCTCATGAAATGTTAACCGAAATTCTGAAATGTGTTTTTGACCAAAAATGGTTCCTTACATTGGATGTTAATCTTGACTACCGTACAGCATTACCTTAAGATATATCAGTTGCGCCAGAATGGCGGGTCTTGAACGAGTTATTTCTGGCCGCCAGGAAAAACCACGCTCCGTGAGAAATGACCACTTAATTAGCAGGAATTTTCCCTGTTGATTTTCTCTGCCCTTATAAACTCAAATATATTTTATAGAAAGCGTGAACAAATACATTCGTTCTCTAATAGAAGCGAACAGGCGAGTTCCGGGAAGCAGTTCAGAAGGCCTGACGTTTCGGATTCTTACTCGAACCCATCATCTGAGACAGTCGCAGGTATCCAAATTTATTAATTTTATTTGTGAAATATACGGTATAGTTCAAATCCCCTACAAAATTGTATAAATGCCATATGGCATCTTCTTAGTAATGTGTAAAAATGTGTGATCTTTCTTATGCAGCTTCTAGTTCGAAAACTCTGAATGCAGTGTGGCGGCGGGCCGGGTTCAAAATTATTGGGGAACTGGAAAAGTTTTTTAAAACCGAACTATACTTTTCCTTCAAGTATAAAATTTAAAGAATATGTCATTTGATACAAAGTGGGTAAAAGAACGATTAGTTTGGGTGTGTTTTCTATGAAATATATGTGAATCGACAAGGGCATCGAAAATAAATGAGTACAACGTCTACTAATAAAGTAGTCCATTTTTCAGAACGTAGTTTTCGCAGACAGTCGTAAAGGAGCCTATAAAAAAGCCAACATCCCGATGTGCTTGAAATATCCTGGGATTATGCTGCATGGCGATCAAGATTGCAACCCTACGCAAGTTAACTTTACGAATCAAAAATGCACTTCAAAATTTCGGTCAACATTTCATGAGAGAGGACATCCACTGTACTTGTGTCGGATGAATTTCTCCCATTGATTTTCGATCCCCGCATAAATTCAATTATATTTTATGGAAAACATGTGTAGAACTATTTTTTCTCGCACTCACTTGGCAGCAAATTACGTCTTCTTCAAAGTTTCTACTTGAGGAGATAGCATCTTCCAGTCTTTTAGACTTTTCGATTTCTGAATAATGTTTTGCCCCACCTGTCGCTAAACTTGCATTCAGGGTTTTCGAACTACATGCTGTACGTATTCCGTTGGAGGAATATCATATATTTCCTTACGTTTTTAGAATGAAGTTATATATCACTCGTTAAAATTGTGCAATGTACGTGGAACAAGTAGTATGCTTTATAAGTGGTCTCAACAAACGTGCTCGTGCGATGCTGTATGAATAGACATTCCACGGTCATAAAAATTGGAAACTTTTAAAGTTGAAAGATACCCCTTCTTTGAGGACAAAACTCCAAGCAGACGTAGTTTGCTACTAACTGGGTGCAAAAAAGGACACTTTTGTGCATACTTTTTGTGAAATATATTGGTATTTATAGGGACATCGAAAATTAATGGGGAAGATTCATGCTACTCAAGCAGCCACCAAACGTAGCCAAACGTAATTTTCGCAGACGACCGGAAATAAGCTCACTGAAAAGCCCGGAAAGCTGGCGTGACTAAAATATCTCAGGATTATGCTGTATGATTACCAACAGTACGATGCTGTTTAAGCAATCGATTCTAGAGAATCGAAAACACATTTCGGAATCTCGGCTAACATCTGATGAGATAGCACATCTACTCTATCCAAAGTCCCACGAGTTGGACAAGTCTATACGAATGTTAGCACAGACTAAGTAAGAAAAACTACCGTAGGGTTGGAGGGATTGTAAGCCTGCGGCACAAGAACCAATTCACTGTCTTCGTTGATCGAAAGCAAGAGAGAGAGGCGAGCGCCGGGTTGTGGGTTGGGAGGCAAAGCGGGATTACAGTCAACGGAGGAGTTGGGACGCCGACGTTTCGCGGGTTCAATCGCCGGCTTCGACTGGAATAGATAGTGCGAATGTCCGGTAAGGGGTGGAGCATTGCGACGAGAACGACGTTTGTTTATCATCACACTAGACGAACTGGGCATACGGAGTTGACTGCGGCAATCCAGAAGACTGGTTTCCTCGGACGACACCCGAAATGCTGGCAATCGGGAGTCCTGGAAAATGCACGGAACAAAAGAATAGGATAAAAACAAGGGTAGGGCGAAGATGGGCAAACGAAAACTTTTGAAGCAAGAAGCTGTGCACAAGTACGATACGTATCAGGGCGACAAGTAATTAAGCATGCAGGTTTCATGGGTAAGGAAGAAGACTGATCGAGAACCAGGACATTTTTTTTATTATTCTAAGCTGTTGAACTCGCGCAAGAGTCCATCGTCAGAGGTGGCAGCATCAACAGCACAAGCGACGATTATAGGGGCGCTAGCTCATTAGCGGCTAACACCCCTATAATTATCGCCTGTGTAGTTGTTGCTGCTGCCGTCTCTGACAACGAACCCCTGCAAAGTTCCAAAGCTCAGAAACTGAAGTATCTACCTGAAGAGCAAAGGGAAGAGCTGGAAGACACCGATGAGCTGCAAAACCAGTACCAGTACCTGTGCTGTCAAGTATGGTATATCGTGCATAGAGAACATGTTTCGATGTTGGGTCAATCTTCTTCCTTACTCATATATACACCTGAAAGTCGAACATTCATCTCCAAAGAGATTTCAGTTGTTGCAATAAAATTGCCCTAAAATGCCTTCACCATAAGCTGCGAGTACCAGTACTAATATTACATGAAAGTGTCCTCCACTACCTGTCATATCTAATGGAAATGGCAGTTCCGATATGACCCCGTTGCTCAGAGTCCGTAAACCACACAAGCGGTCGCATAACGACTGGTGTTTCACTTAAACCCAGGTTAAAACCACGGATGCATAATTGCCTGCGCTTGGGCTATCGCTGATTGTTGATAGCGAATAAGTCATTCCAGCGTCCCAGTCTTTGTTAGAAAAGTTTTTTTAACAATGATTACTTGTTGCTACACGACAGTCCAGGAGGATTCGATGCTTTGGTCTTTAAAGTCAAACGGAAATATCCACTCCCCTCTGCCATCAGGACAGACACGTGGACTCCACTCTCAAATGACGCTGCATATTCTGCCGCAGTCAACACAGCTTACGGCCGCCAGTTCAAGTGGCAAAAGCGTTTGACCCGGGTTTTAACCGTGGGTGCGCTAGTACCTTCAGCTGGTTTATCATCGACCAACGACGGCGAAAATACAAGAAATGGTCTGTCAGATGTCCCAATTCTTTATTAATAATACTTCCAGAAATCGATGGCAGTGTAAACGCGATGCTTGGACGCCATAACTCAAGGGAAAGTAGTAGGACTACCAGTATCAACCACCGTCAGCCACCTGGTTTAGGCAACCAGGGTTTCGCATGCCAACCAACTGGCCATTGGGTATCAAGTAATACGCTCGGATTTCCATTGTCTAGCGCCAAATGGGCGCGGGCCGTTTGGGGTGTCATCCGCATCGACCGATCGGCTCCATCGGTTGGGAGGACATACGCGATGGCGTTCCTGCTCAACAAGTGCCTCAAATGCTGCCGGTTTCGCGCTACCGAAGGACACCACAGTGGGTATCCTCAACTGGTTCAGCCCACCAGTCGAAGCGGATATTGAGGTAGGACTGAATGAAGAGATAACAGCCTCTGGAGGCCGTAGATGAGGGCGTCACCTAGGCTAGTCACCCACAGAGATGTTTTCTTGCCAAGGAACAAAAACACACCATGAGCACTGTCATTACTGCCAGAACTCCCTGGCAAACTCTCGAAACCCCTGGGGGAGTCGGGTTCGTGCAAACCTCGCCGCTGACATTGAGGACACGAGAAATGCAAACGCCAGGCAACCGGAGTGAACGAGTTGTTAAAAAATTAGTAAACAACTAGCTGCAGGTTCGGTATGCGGACCTTATAACCTGCTCTGCGAGACTGACTCGCCGTTGCAAATTCAACAAGCACACCCTGACCAAAAATACTACGGCTAGTGTAAAAAGAACGCAGTAAGCGGTCACCTCATCAAGTAAGAGGCCGTTTTCGACGGAGGAGGAGCAGATTGTACTGTCTAGTGACAATGAACGGTCGTAGCAGACTTCGCTGCGAGTCTGCTCACCCGAACCCAGCGGAAGGTCTATCGGAGAAATTGCAAAGGTGGGCATAGAGCAGACAGAGGGGGAGCGAAGTACGGTCGTTTCGCGCAGAAAGGTGGTCTTCTTTTTCCGGAGTGAGTCAACTGCATTACGAGATGCTCTTTTGCCACAGGCCACTGCCACAGCCAAGCCCACAGTGACAAAAATGACTATCAGAGCCAAGAGGATACCGAATAGGAAAGCACCATTGAGGAGGTGTTCCAAGAGGCCCCGACGCCTTGATGTGGAGCCATAGACATGAACAGTGGCCTCACCACCACCAACCACGCGGTCCCCGACAGATCCAGACTGCCGTTGCTGACCGGAGGAAAGGGAGGGGGAAGCACGTCTGAGTGGCTGACCATGATCGTTGAAAAACAGTATTTCATTGGTCGAACTGTTGTCCGACGAGGCGATAGTCCAGGTGAGACTTCGAGGACAGTCTGCAGACTTAGTGGCCAAAAGGGCCACATCGTCCAGACAAACACCCGCAACACCGTGCAGAGAAAAGGCTGTTGGAGTGGGTGGAGGAGTATTGACCTCGGTGGTGTCAAAGGCTGTGGGAAAGAGACGGGTAGTGATTGGAAGCCGAAGGTGGAGCCACTGATTGGCAGGCGGATGGGGAAGCTGGTGGTCGGTTGTACTGGACCGAACAGACTCGCCAGTACCAAAGGCGAAAGGCCAAATTATACCGGCTACGAGAGAAGCAAACATTGAGGTGGTGGTGGTGGTGGCAGTGATTTTACGTTCGTCGGGACGCCACGTGCCTTCTAGCCACGGCAGAGCAACGCTTTGAGAAATCGGTCTGGTGAGGGTGGAGGGACAGGTAGAGAAAAGTTGTCAGTCAGGGTAACTGGAAAGACATTTCCTCGAAAAGACAGATAAGGAGAAAACGGCAGTGTGTCCTGTTGTTCGCACGAGCAAACGACAAATCACATATCTTTGAATGCAACAGGGATCTTAGAAGAAAAAGTAGGGTTGGTTTGGTCTTGGAGTAAACGATAAAGCTTAGAAGAAATCAGTGCTCACCATAGTATTAGGTGACCGCAGCGTCAAAGTTGACCTTCACTTTGGTTTAATGATTCGGGACCCCATAACGCGTTGTGCACCTTGGACCCGTTTTGATTTCTTGTGTAGGGCGTCGCAAACCCCTAGATATCCCTCACCAGCTCAATGCAACGGGTAGCAGAAAATAAGCATGGGATGCGTGGGTTGACAACTGTTCCATCGGTGCGTTCATTAGTGGATGCGCACGGTCAAGTCTCATTAGGCAGAAATCACAACGAAAACCGTCTACAGAGAAGTTTAGTGTCCACATATAATTCCCTGATAAGGCGTCGTTCAGTCTGCCTCGGGCATGATGTCTTTAAGCAGAAAATGTTCATTATTGCGGTCTTCTGGTCACTTTCAGCGCAGGTACCCAACCTCGATTTCTGGCAAGGTCCCAGTACTGGTGACTTAAGCGTTATTTTTAGGGGGGATGGTGGTGAAACTAAGCGAAACTTGTCAATTACCTTGACCCGGATCCAAAACACAAGTGGCCTATAAGCACCCAGAGAATGATAAAACGCACCGAAAAGTGAAACCACTCACTGCCTAACAATATTTTGGCTTAAGCAAGCTTGTCCGCTAGTTTGGTATGCGCCGCTCAGCAAGTCAAAAAACTGCCTTTTGAGAGAAAAAACGGAGAAATAAAGATGCGGATGAGCAAAATGAAGAAGGAATTAGTTAGAGCGTAGTTAGGGGGAAGTGCTGCGCCGTTGGAAAATAAACCTGAAACTTAGTGGTTTTGTTCAAGAGCATGACGAATGATGAGCTCGAGGGTTTCGTGAAGATGCCACCATTGTGCGTACGAATAAAGTATGGCCTCAAGCGCAAAAACCGCATAGTGACTCACATAAAGTAGCATCAGAGAATTTTTGAATGTGTGAAGCATACACTGTGTTCTAACAATGATTTCCCGAGTTATGCGAAATCAAGTCATGCTACGCTTTCAAATGTTGCCCAACAGTGAGATCTAGTATAATAAAACGATCGAAAAACATAGTGTTTGACATTTTTAAACAAAAAAAACGATTGGTTTCATGTAAACACCGCAAGGCCAAAAGTGGTGATCCTTTTGCAAGTATGATCACAGCAAGCTGCTAGAAATATTTTGAACGAAAAGCCGGAGTGACATGATGTGCTAACTGGCGCATTTACTATAGATGCAACTTCATTGAGTAACTTACGTTCTACCTGACGGAAAATTCGTTGTTTCGGGAGTTTCTCGGTACACGGCAATCTCCCTAGGCGGCAAAAGCGTTTGTTATCCTCCCCTCAAAGAATTATTGATATATGTGCAACAGTACCACCCCCCCCTGAACAATAATTACCAACAAGGTGCAATTCACTAAATCCAACAGGCGACAGAAGTTAAAGCGAGACGGGACCCACGAAGAGTGTAGATATGCTGGAAGTCCGATCGCATCACAGCTCCACCTCGAAGATAGGAACGAGCTCATATAAGATTTAATCGGAGAAAACTTTGCATTCATGGCGGCACCACCTGCGGGCTAGCCAGATCTATGCATGGGGAGAGAGCGCAGGTTAGCGATGTGATTCCGATCAGGCCGTGTCCACCAAAATCGACCCGAACTGGCACACCTCCCCGGGGCGCATATCAGTTGTCACATCGATTGTGTATAAATATAACAATTAAGTGCAGATGGCAGGGGAGATCGGCACAGTGACTGACTAGGTATGCGTCCTCGTCTCTCGCGTGTCGCGTAGGTGCTGATCCCTCAGTCGACATCAGTGGGACTTTACTTACTAGGATGCCATGCAGGTGTGAGCCTCCATAGGGGACATTTAGAAGCTCGCTGGTAGACCATAGCTACCTCATGAACTGGCAACTTTAGAAGTCTGGTTAATATCTCGAATGCGCGTCCGACTTAGTGCAGTGGGGAAACGTTGCGCAGAGTCAGTCTCACACTACCCCCCCCCTCTCTCACGGGCGCGGGTTTCAAAAGTAGGCCAACGGCTGACTCTTCATAAAGCCACCCACCACATGTACTAGCCCAACCCCCATAACTGGGCCGGGCGTGTCGGTTGAGCTCAACAGTTTTGTCATCATGGACTATCGCGGAAGTTTACGTAGTCTGTGGTCTTATTTTTATTCAAACAGGTGACTACCCTCACCCAAAGCGCACCGTCAGCTTGGCCGTTCTACTCTCCGGCAGGAGAATATCCATCTGAAGACAGACACAATCGTCCTGGTTTTCCGCCAGTACTTCCCCGTCTGCCCCGACAGGTCGCGACCTCAGATGTGACCGCGGTGTCGTAGTTGCTTTCGGGTGAAAGGGGCTTGAACCAGCCGGACCGACGTACAGGACCCTCCCTCCGGATGGAACCACTTCCATGCCGGAGGCAGTCCGGTCTGTCGATGGAGGCAAGTTAATCCAGCGACGATGTCGCAGCACCGGAACCAAGACATAGGATTCCAGACGAGCTGTTAAATTGCTGCTAGAGGTCATCTTCGCTGACGGTGTTGCAACGCCCCAGTCGGCGCAGACGTAGTGGTTGGGAGGAGCAGAAGCTGGCAACTCTGGTGGAACAGCATCAGTCTGCCGGGAAAAAGTGAAAAACACCTAGACTAAAAGTGGTTGGCCTTTCAACAATAACAACTAGCTGGGACTGCGTCTATATGAGCATGAGTGTACAACTGTCACAAAATCATGGCACACAAGGCTGTAAACAAATAAAAAAAGGATAAAGAACAGCCATTGTGCACTTTAGTACCGCTATTTGCTTCCCTCATAGAAGGAACAGCTGGCTGTCACTCATAAGAGGCAATACAACCACGCGAGCACTATCAAGGACCTACGGTCAGGGAAATCAGACGCTAAAGCAAGACAAGGAAAGCCCGCATCCTGGAGTCATGCATGATAATTTTCTGAGACCTCAAGAAATATACATCTTTAAATCGGAACGCTTAAAGCGGCAAGAACGCTTCCCAGTTCCGGTAAAAAATACTCACGGCACCCTTGATTAAAAGCCTACCGTACACAGCAAAATAAGCCAAAGTCCTTGTTTAGAACTCAACTAAGAACCTCCGGAAAAAGGCCTACGGACTATTCTATGATTATTGCACGTAGAGTCGATTAGTTAAATACGTCCTCGTAAATTCAAGTAGTTTAGCTTGAAAAAGCTTTCGGGAGATCGCCAAAAGCTCTGCGTCTCAGACCCTGACGCGTAAAGCCCTCGAGATTTTGTGCAGTCACTAAATTTCCGAAGAACCTTACTCCTCTACAAGCGCTGAGATAGGCCAGCCCACAGGAGGTTAAAGCTTAGGTGCAATGGAAACACATACCAAGCATTTCATAGTATCCTTTCGGAGGTCACTCGGAGCAATTAGTCCAGCTTACATTTTACAGGCAGCACGTCACACTCAGCGACCAATCGCATGAAATCCTAACAGAAATTCTGAAATGCGTTTCCGATTAGGAGGCATTACTTAAGCTGAGTTCAATAAGGATTAAAATTCCGAGTAATCCCAAGGCACTACAGGTACGCCAGGATGTCGGCCTTTGAATGCACTTCTTCACGGCAGCCTGCAAAAACTGTACTCATTAAAAATGACTATTAAAGTGATATACATTTTTCTATCGATCTTTATGCCCTTATAAATTAAAATAGATTTTATAGAAAACATGCCAAAGAATATCATTTCTTGCATTCGTTTGCCAGCAAATCGCGTCCTCGTGAAATTTTATGCTCAAATTTAGGTATCTTTCACCACTGAAAATTCGTAAATATGAGACGTCTTAAGACCGTTAAATGTTCATTCAGACAGAATCATACCTGAAATCCACCTAATGTTTCTTTAAAAAAATAAACCACAGTATGAATCCATTGCGAAATTTCTATTTAATGGCATAGAAGAGCGTAAGATGTTCTTTAAACAGGAAAGGCAAAGGTAGGCACGTGCAATACGGGAAGCGCGGTAATAGAAATTTTAGGGGTGGGGCAGGAATAAGCCAGTGGAAAAATAGGCCAATGATGATAGTCTGCCAAAGCATAACCCAAAAAGTATCACAGTTGTTTAAATGAATACACTAATCGTAATGCAGCGGCCATATAGTTTTAAAAATGCGTAAGGTTACCTAAAAACCAAAGGACGCCTAAAAAGGACATGATTAGACGGTTATTGGGGGGGGGGGGGGTCACTGAAACTGAACCGAATGAAACAATGGAAATGACCTGGGACGCTAATGACGTAGGAATTGGATGCCAGATGAGCGCAGCAAACAGCGAGCCAACAAAGAACATGAAAAATGCGATGGTGAGGTAAGAAAATGATAAAATTGCCCACTTTCATGAAAATAAGGAAAAAATCTAAACAGAAAGGAATTGAAAGTGAAACCTAAACTATGGAACTCTAGTAAAAATGACAATATTTTGACGAAAATAACAACAAAGTCGCGGTATGTACTGTAGATGTAGCAAATTACTCAGCAGCATTAAATTGCTCCTAATTATTGCGCCTATTATATTGTAGGACCGAAGCCGCTGTTACGGCAAGGAGGGGACCGCCAATAGGAAGACGTACGAAAGACGATGAATTGAAACGAATTTTTGAATAAGCCGAGATTATCCCTTATCTCCGGGAAAGTAAACTCCTGCCGTGGAACCTTATCTGTCGCTGCAGGAGGACAATGCGGGTACAGAAATCCAAACAACGCACGGACGGTTTCACCTTTAAGTGCAGTAGGTGGGGAAGAAGAAGAGCACTAAGGAGCGGAACTATATCTGAAGGAAGTGATCTGACGCTCGAGAAGGCTGGAAGGATATGTTATAATTTCCTCGAAGTCTCTGATGTCTGATCTTTTGTTTTTCCAATGCACCCCAACGGAAAATAAGTAAACGAAAAGGCAGTGGGTTAGAGTTAGATTGACAAAATGGAAAGCGAGCGTCACAGAAAACGTGTCGCGTGGGTGTTGATGTAGCTTGTTGTAGGAGCAAAGAAAGGGGGGAAGACTGAAACTGTAAAATAGAAGGGAATCCGAGCGCAAGACTAAACTGCGGTGCAGCGCAGGCAGGGGATCGAGGTATATGGGCGGAGGAACGGCATGGTCAAAAGCAAATGCAAATGTGGGATGGCACAGAAGGGCTGGAATTTAAAAGGCGGATGGAGGTACCCGAAGAAGGGAGTGAGTGAAAGACGCAGTGGCTGACGAGTATGGCGTGTCGCTGAGCAAATGCAGGGTAATGCAGTTCATCGCCCGGACAGCAGAAGGTAAATGGGAAACAAAAAATCGCCAAGTGTATCTGGCGGGAAGTGCCGTAACCGCTAAGACATCGTGTATGTAGTCTACCGCAAGTTGACTGTCATCCAGGAAACCCAGTCGTCCGAGGCCGAGGAGAGGTAAACGCAAACAGAGGAAGATAAGGAAGACGTAGGAAGGAAAGCTACAAGGTAGGCCAACGCAAGCGTGGCACCTGAGGAACACTCCAACCGCGGCAAGCAAGACCAACAAAGGATAACCGAAACCTTTTAAATAACCCAACCGCAAAACTGCATATAAATCTCAAACCAACCATAAACTTAGCACTAAACCGAACCCTACTCCAAACCTTAATCCGAACCATAACCCAAACCGCAATTATCACCTTAACTCTAAAATTAATGCTGACACTAACCCTAACCCTAACACTAAAGATAACCGAAGGCCTAACATTGACCCTAACCCCAACCCTAACCTTGACAGTAATCCTAACTCACTGTACTTGACCTGAATTGATACGGCTGCGATCATGCCTGATCTAGCCGGCCTCGATGATGCCACGAACTGTACCTCTCCACGCATGACGATCCGCGGCAGCAGATCTGGACAGATCAGCGCATTCCCTTCGCTAACGACGGAGACTGAATACCGAAGGTCCAAGAACAACCTTCATGTCTTGACGAACTGTGTCGAGCTAGGTTTTCAACTGACCCCCTCTTCGACGCCTCCAATGGGACAACGATTCCGGATCGAGGGCAGTAACACTCAGCTCCTGAGGTGGACGACGAGGACAAGGCCCAAACCGCCTCAGTCGTCTTTCTTGGATGGCCTGAGTTATCCTTGAGATGTTGTCGCAGCGTGCGCGGACTGTCTCATTTGAGACGAAGTCGGTGAACTTCACTCGAAGGATGGTCCTCTGGCAATGGTGATCAAATACCTCCAGTTTTCGCTCGTCCTCCACGCGCAAAGCCCAGCATTTACAATCGTAGAGAAGGACAGACCGGACAGATGCACGGTACACGCAAATCTTTGTGACGATAGAGAGGTCAAGTCGGCATTTCCGAAGGTTGGAGAAAACCCAGCGGGCAGCATCAATTCGGAAGACAATGTCCGCCTTACTCTGTCCACTAGGCAGCAGTCTCACCACAAGATATTTAAAACTGTCTACTTCTTCAAGTCGACAGCCATCAATCCCGAGAGGTGTCTTCTCCTGGTCAGGGATGCAGCTTGAAAGCACTTTAGTCTTCCCAGCGTTTATGGATAAACCGACCGATTTAACGACCTCGTTCACGCGTGACACCATAAACTGCAGACCACCAAAACTTAAAGCAAGTAAGGCGATATCATCGGCATAGTCGAGATCAGTCAGTCGGTGTCCGGTTGCAAACTCAACGCCGTCATCCTCGCGTAGAGCCACCCCGAGCATTCAGTCAATAGCATAGTTGAACAGAATGGGTGACAGGATACAACCCTGTCAAACGCCAGGCCGAATGCCGAACGGTTAGGAAAGATTGTTGCGAACCAGGACTCTCGCAGTAGTTGAGCGATAATAGGCCTAAATCATGGCGATTATTTTTGCCAGTGCACCATCTAGCGCCATTATCCGCCACAGGGACTCACGATGGACGGAATCGAACGCGGCGGCAAAGTCAATGAAACAAACGCCCGTCGGTTGTTTGCGGCTATGGCGAAATTCGAGAATGCGCCTCAGGGTGAATATCTGGTCAGCGCATCCACGTCCAGCACGAAATCCGGCTTGCTTGGGCCTCGTCCTTGAGTCACACACAGTCTGGAATCGCCTGAGCAGGACAATAACGAAGATCTTCGCAACGACGTCGATGAGGCTTTTACCGCGGTAGTTCTCGCATCTCGTCTTATCTCCCTTCTTGAGGATAGGTACAAGGATGCCTAAGCCCAAGTCATCAGAAACAACCTCGTCTCTCTACGCTCGTTCAATCACCTCATGGAGCCAGGGCGCCAGTGTCGACACAAGACTTGTAGATTTCAGCGGGCATACCGTCCTCTCCGGGTGCCTTATTGTTGCGTAACTTTCGTATGGCATCGACGACTTCTCCTTCAGAGGGGGGGGGGGTCGCGTGGCACTGCATAGGTGGGAGAGGGAAGAAACTCCGCTGAAAAGGAGAGCAAGGGCGAGGTACGTTGGGTATCGAAGTTGAAATGGTGCTCAAAGTGCTCACGCCAGCGCTAGACTTTGGCCGAGTTGTTAGCAATAAAGCCGCCCCTCACGTCGCGAACAGAGTCACTCAGTGTACAGGGCCTACCGCTAACTTGGCGGATAAGTTGATAGCGTTTTCACTCACTGTATAATGGAACGGTTTTTATCGAGGGTTAGCTGAGAAATAAACATGCTCTCGAGAGTGATGAATAAACAGCAGCGACAGAGCAACCAAAGTACAGAGACCTGACACGCCGACCACCTTATCAAGTGTCGCAAAGCCTGGTGACGGCACTGCGATATGATGACCGCGAACCGATAGTAAATAGGCTTGCTTTCTACCGCTGTCTTGTGGTTAAGTCCTTAAGGCAAAGCGCTAGAGGAGTCAACTTCGAACAAACAACCCACGTGCCTGTTGGGAACCCGCATACACTCAGAATGTCATAGAAACCTTGTGAAAGCGTCCGACTCAAGTGTTCGGACTCATGCTGCGGCGTCCGCGGGGACCAACGTGCTCCGCGACCATGTCCCAGTCGTCCGGGTAAATAATATGAGAGCAGGACTGCTCATTCGAGAACAGACCCTTGATACTGGACGGTGGAATGTGCGGATGTTCCCGGATCCTGGTACGCAAAGTCTAACCACGCGCAATCCTAATCAGTACGAGGTTAAGGCCGCTGCCTGCCCGACTCGGACCCTCGAGAAATGCAGATCTCCGGAGTCAACTCCCATGTGACTCTTCTGGCATACACTACGTGGGGATCGCCCTCTAACAACAAGTGAACCATGCACTGCCTAGGTAGGAACCAGTCAATGGCCGGTCAGCCAATGTAAGACGGAAGGGTCACTTTACGGACGCCTCTGTCGTTTCCGTCTATACACCAATGTCCGCTGTTGGCCAGCGCGATAAAGAAACCATCTACTTGTGTCTACAGGAGTGAATTTAAATACTCCCTCGCCGTGATTTACTGATTGTTGCGGACGACTGTGATGGCCGGACTGGACCTGGCGATTCTTCAAATTGTCACCGTATTGGCTGTTTTGGGCCTGGATCTCGATGCGTGAATGTTAAGCTTTTCTGACCAGAAGAGACTGCTTGTCACCAACACGCACTTCCTGCATGGACACAAACATCTTCTGACCTGGTACGTAAACGCTGATCATACGGCCAGTCAGATCTACCACGTTCTAGTTGGTTCAAGGTCACGCAGCTGGGTTCATGAAAGCAGATCAATGCGTGGTGCCGGAATTGGTAACGCCCATGGGTTGAACTGCTTTCTCGCTCACACATGCCTGGGCACCCTTGTGCTGGTCTTCAATAAAGGGGATAAGAAAAAGTGCGAGAACCGCCACGGCACAAGCTTCATTGACGCTGTTCCATAGGCCCCCGCTGTAGTCATTCTCAGGCGATTCCCGTGTTTTGCGTGACTCTCGGACGAGGCCAAACCAAAGTGGATTCCGCGCTGTGCGTGGTTGCACTGACCAGGTATTTACACTATCACACAGAGTTTTAACAATTTTTAGAATGTGTCTATGAACCAGACGCGGCATTTTAATCGTCACAAAGATTCCACGCACCGTGCATCAGTCTCCCTCTAGGGTTGTGGATGCTGGGCTGTGCGCGTGGAAAAAGAACGCGAGCTGGAAGTGTTTGACCACCGCTGATGAGGACCATCCTTCGAGTGAAGTGCACTTACGTCGTCTTAAATAAGACAGTCCATACTCGCTGCGACAACGTCGCGAGGATACCTCAGACCATCCAAGAGACGACTGAGACGGTTTGGGCACGTTCTTCGTCATCCACCTCATGACCTTAGTGTTGCTGGCCTCGATCAGGTGCTTGGAGGCGACGGTGAGGAGGTCAACTCAAAACCTGATTCGGCATGAAAGTAGTTTACTGACCTTCAGTACCCGGGCTCCATCGCTGCCGGAGAGAGTGGGTCGAGCTGTTCAGACCAGCTGCCGCGGATAGTTACGCATGGAGATGTAATCCGCGGCATCAACGAAGACGGCCAGATCAGGCATGATCACAGCCGTATTAAGCACAGGCTGTCCTTGAATGCGCGCCGTGCTAATAAAACAGGGCTCAGGATATAAAAATAAAACTATCACAAAATGGTGGAGAATTAGCGAGTTCAGCTGTTTTGACTTCTAATTAATGAAAAGACTCCTAGCACGAGTTTTTAGGCACTTGGAAGTCTCCTCTCATGTTCGACCGTGTCGGACGCCCGCGCTTACCTACAGTCGTATCGACTTTCTCTTGCATCGGAATGCAGTGGGTGTACGGAAATAGAGCGAGGTAGATGTAGTGCAGGTCTGCTTCACTACAGACAAAATCACGCGCAAGGCACGACCGCGCCAACTCCGTGGGACACTGGAGGACCTCGTTAGTTACGACACTCGAACTCTCGTGTCAGGCATCCTACAAACCTGCTGAGACGCGACCGCCTTCAGCAGAAATACTCTCCGCCACACAAAAGGAGTGACGGGGCAGAACAGTGCCGTATGCAGTCAAATTATGTGCCGGAAATAGTTTCAAGGATGTTACAAACAGGGGGGTTTTTTGAAATGCCAGGTTTCCTACGCTAAGCCCATCCCTCTTATCTGCTTCAAAAAGGCGACGGTAAGCAGCAGAGTTGTAACTGACGAGGCTAAGTGTCCGTATCTGACGCAGAGCCGCGCAGAGAAGTCGGATAAGTTGGGAAAAGAGACGCGGAGACTGGACAACGAAAACACTCAGACAAGTGATTCGGACGGAAGATTGCAAGTCAAGACTGCGGGAGGGGCACCTTGGGGCAGAAGCACTGGTGGATCTTGTAACTTAGTGGACAACAAGTAACAGCGGAGACCAGGGAGGAAGGAAATCTCCATCATTCACAGTCCCCCCGCAGTCAGACAGAGTACTTTTAATGGTGGGGCGCTCACTGATTGTTCTTGCGGAACTCACTCGTTCCGTTGTGCCTAACGGGCTCTCTCTCTCTCTCTCTCTCGGGGGTGGGTATGACTGGCTGGCGACGGCTAATAAGCCAGAAATGGTCATTCCAGTCTCCCTTGTCCTTGTCGGTAATGCACACAAATATCCCAAGGAAATATTTTATTTGAAAGGTAGTCGGAAATTACCGAAAATTTTGGGATGATCCATGTTTCACCCAAAAAGACGGCAAGAAAAGCAACAAAAATCAAATGATTCCAGATCTAGTCACAGAGTTGTCATGACTTCCAATCCTGTTGGAACCTCGATAGAACAACCATAACTTGCGAGGGTGATAGATAACCAAAAGAGGGGTTAAGCAGTGGTACAACCATTAATGTCCACATCGTGGGAACAAGCGTATCCTTATCGTATCTACAACATCGCACGGTAAATGAAACCAGGTGTCCGGCCGGGCACTACACTTCAGCTTGTTTTCAGATGCCTTGATCTGCTCTTGCCATTGGAAACGTACGCGAATGGTAACTGTCCTTAATGCATGGGGCTAATTTAGCGTCCTCGGAAGCCAGCTATATCACACAAACGCCTTTTGAAGCACAAGCGACACGACAGTTTTTGAACACCGTCTCACACTTATGTCTTCTGCTTTTTGCACAAACCGCTGTAATTGTGCGCAATAATTTTTTCTCCAAAGTTACCTGTTACCATTCTTCGCTATATATCTGTCAGAAGCGTGTAGTAACCTCACTCCAGGCCCTGGGAGCTATGGCCGATTGCCACCACTGCACCGGTGCCACACAAATTCACCAAGAAAGGCTCCTACTGCGAGACAATTTGATTTCATCCCATTTTCGCTCACCTGCGGCCACTCGACTGCCTGCCTTCAGCTCAGGCACATGTGTCCTAACAGTCACATAAACACAAGCAGTGTCAACCTAAATCCGACACACACCAAAACGGCTGACAGCACAGTATCTCTCTCTCCCCCCCTCTTGCGGAAACGACTAAGCACAGTCAGTACACGCCCTGGCCTCACCAGTGGCCACTATAACTAGACAGAGAGGCTCAGGATTCTGTAATAGGCTGATCATTCAGGTGTCTTACGGCTTATCATGCTACGCGGAATTCGACCTGCTAGTTGTGGAGTTTAAATTAGGTCCATTACTCAAGCCAAAATGATCAACGTAAGAATGTTGACTAGCCAGACAGTCGAGCGTTTTCAATCCACGTGTAAATCGGTTTGCTTTTAGCAGATGACGGAAGCCTCGGCATATTTTCTCTTTTATAAGCAGCACTGTGTCTTTCCCGCAATTTGGGTGCATGGGATGTCGCGGGCCAAGAGAACAAAGTTGTGGTTGTACAGTCACTCCAGGTTCGCGGATACGGTCGGACGAACGTAACACAACCTTACACTGATGAATATGCCCCGTCGCACCTACACTTCTGGCAATTGCCAAGCCCAAGGATGCACCTCGGGCGACGCCTACTAGGTCTGGGGTAGTGCACGCACGACCAGGGCGGAACCATGCACTTACAATGACAGTCCCTGCCAAACGCATAAATCGAGTGGATACTTCTACTTCACCTCGTCCCGGCAACTAGCTCTCATATGTAGCTCCAGAGGCCATGAAAACCACGGTGGCCAGACTGCGAGCTAAAACAGTTGAGGGTGTCTGGCGTGCGGATGTCTTTGCACCCGTCAGACCCTGAACTAGTCCCCACCCTCTCCCCATTCTCAAATAAAAAGTTCTACGCTAAGGATACCACGCTATCCCGTAGAGTACCCAGGTTAATTCGGGTCAACCTTCCACGAAACATAAGTCGTGAACCATAGTGAAATTCAGCAGCTGCTTGGGATGATAAAGCCGCCTTATCTAGAGGTAATTTGGTTAACTTCATTGCGCCAAAGGAGGCTGGAATAGGGGTCCAAACATCGTTTGAAGAAAACGCCATCGGCAAGCAGACCGTGGCTTGTGGACCAAAATATGCGCTGAAAAATCTATAGAGAACAACAACCCCCCTCCTTGTACCCATCTCCATGCCTCACTGCAGGCTACCAGAAACACTGTTCACTGAATAAACCTACAACGTTTGTCACCTTCTAGAAAACGGAATGACGAACCGGTGGGAGAGGACAACTCTGGTCGCCCGATATTACGGCTCTCAGTGAGATCAGTTTTTTTAAACAAGAAAAACTGGATTAGATTGTGCTGGATGCATATTTTCCGGAGCGGATGCCCAAAAGTGGAACTGCGAAACGCCGAAGTCGCCTTTCTCATCGGGAATAACGTCCTGCGACGGCATCCCCGTCTGCCAAAATGTCAGTCATCATCACGCAGGTCCACGCTGGCCTTTTCACGGGATCACATTTGCCACCGGCATCAGCACCCACTTCACGAACAAATAGTTTGGTTCGATGACGTGAAGAATAAGTTCTATGGGGACCTGCACGCCCACTTAGTGACTGTTTCAGAAAGCGAACAAACGGACTCTCCTTGGTGACTTCAGTGATCGCGTTGGTATAGGTGACGTTAAGAGGGGTGGGGGAGAGAAGGGGTGTGCTCGGTAGCCAAGAGACCCGCAACCGTAACAGGCATGCCCTTCTCTTACAGGATTGCACAGAAAATAATCTTCTCCTGAGCGACACCTGCTTACGCCTTCCGATCCCAGAGAAGACGAAGAGGATACACCCGCGCACGCGTCACTGGCATCTGTCCTTGCTGAGAGGCGTGATTAGCGTGACTTGTTGGCGACTAAAGCAATGTATGGTGCCGACTGTTTGACGGATCACCGCCTTGTCGTCTGCAAAATGGGGACGTCGCCTCAATCCTGCAGATCAATACAAAGGAAGTCAACACCAGGTAGGTTAGATACTGTATTACTTGATATAGCTAAGAGACGGGTGAATTTTAGCAGATGCATGAACTCCAAACCGCGAGAAATGAAAACCCCGGAGAGCGTACCAATGTCGAGACCCAGTGCAGGGAGTTGCGAAATACAATAGTAACCACCGCGATGGGCACCCTAGTTCATGCAAGTCGACAGCGCCGGGACTGAACTGATGACAATGATGGAGGAATCCGCGCTCTCCTCTTCGAAAAGAATAGGCTGCATGTGACTTACACCATCAACGACGGCAATGACAAGAAATCCGCATACTCCCGATGCTGAGGCCTTGTACAACGGAGGCTGACGGAGATGCAGAGCGACTGGTTGACACGCAGACCTGAGGAGATCCGGAAATATGCTCACCGTGATGGAATGAAGGATTTTTTACGACTATCAATGCAGTTGACGGTCACGGGGACTGCGTCAGCCCGGAAAAAACAGTGGCCATCTGCCAGCTGGCGTCAAATGCTACCGACAGCATAACATATCAGTGTCAATGAAACTCGCCTTTCTTGGGAGAACAATCTTAAGAAACATCAAGTTCGGTGACGAAATCGTATGCCGGAACCCCGAAGCCAACCAGGCCTTCGGCTGGTCCCATCAATCCATCTGGAACCGTCGCAAAACTGAGGATATCCTAATAACGCTCATCTAAGACGAGGACATGTGAATTGCGCATGGAAGAAAAGCAAGAAGAATTAGCAAATTTTCCCCTTATCTGCCTCCGAGGATCACTGCAAGTGAAGGGGCAGGAAGTAATCCCCGACACTTAAAGTCCTATAAATCATCGACATCTTCGTTGTGCATGTCGTGGCGAGACAAACACAACCGCGATGGGACGGTCACTGCGTGAAGATAAAGGACGGTAGTCTGCACAAGCGGCTGTTCTACGCCGTCACGAGTGCTGGCAGACAGGGCGAACAAAAGCGTCCCTGAATGGCCGTCATGAAGATCTTTCTCAGGCGTCTGCAATTCAATCCACAGACTTGGTACGACCTCGCACAGAGTCGACAGGCATAGATGACGGTCGTAAAGACTGGAACAGATATTCTAAACCAACTGAATAGTAATTGCCCGGACGAAAGTAGAGCTCACAAGACTCAAGTGCTACGGACCAATGACGGTAGCACCCAATCCGTGACATCGTGTCGACGCTGTCAACGAACAGTTTGGGCATGTGTCGGCCCCACTGAACACCTGCGGGCCCAATGCAATGGCATCACGACCAATCCGCCAGTAATCTTACAACACACTACCTCTACCACACCATTAGCAAAAATCGGTGAGGGCACTCCTCTTACCATGCGAAACACTAATGCCACTGCCTCTTCTACCAGCAAAATGGGCTGGGTTCCAACCTGTCCCCATTGCAACTACACTTTCTCCACACGCATAGACCTCCTCCATCACTTGCGAATCCATAGCAGTGGCACCGGTGAACCAGAACCTGGATCCTCGACAGGCATCCGTCACTGAGGCCTCATTTTCCCACCATGGTCAAGGACATTCAGATGAGGAAGGGTCAATTCGGCCATGTGCACCTCCATAAGGATTTTCAGCGAAAAACCGCAGTACATCCCCCATCACTATATATTAGAGAGACGTGGGTGTGGAAACTGTCTGCGCTGGATTGAGTGGTCGGGGTCAAGATGATGCAAGGAGACAAAAAAAAACATGTGACGTGGGAAAAGTTGGCTTTTGCAACACATTCTAATTGTTCGTGGTTGGCAGGAAACAAGAAATTAAAGGTGTCATAGATCCGGCGTGGGACTACGTTAAAGGTTGCTGCAGAAAGTAGGGATTCACTTTAGTGTTTGTAGCTGTGGCTCAACAAAAAGTGTAATCCAATATAAAACAATCGACCCTAGGTTTAACCTGGTTGCGATACTTAGGTCGACAGACCCCTAATATGACAAACAAGGTGGCCTTCTACCAATGTCGCCGCCTTGCGCAGCAGAGGCTGTGAGAAATGCAGGACGCCTCGGTGGCGCGCAAGGCCGAGGACATCCGGGGTACGCCGACCGTAACGAAACAAAGAACTTTGCGGCCACGATCAAGGCGATCTACGCCCCCTCCCCCCTCCAAAGAAATGAAATGCGCCTCTTCTCGGCTCGGATGGATCAACGCTTTTGATGGAGAAGTCGCAGATTCTGAAGCGTTGAGACGAGCACTTCAGAAGCCTCCTCAACTGTCCCTTGACAATCATTGACGCCGCCATGGAAACCAACACCGACCTGGGTCTTCCGCCCTCTCTCACAGAAACCTTCCGTGCCGTGCAAAAACTCCAGCGGGAAAGCACCAGGCTCCGATGCAATTCCTGCCTGAATTTACAAACCCGGCGGCCACCACCTACTGGATCATCTCGCAGCGCTCTTCAATGATATGTGGCGCTGCGGACAAGTTCCTCAGGATCTCAAGGACGCAACAGTAGTTCAGCTCTAAAAGTGGAAAGGAAACCGGCAACTCTGTGAGAATCACAAAGAAATACCGTTGCTCAACATCGCCGGGAGGACCTTCGCCTGCATCCTTCTCAACCGCCTCAACAGTTATCTAAAATAACGACTTCTTCAGGAAAGTCAGTGTGAATTCTGGAGACACCGCACAACCACCGAGATGGTCTTTGTCGCCCGCCAGCTATAAGAGCACTTCCAGGAGGTGCAGATTCACCTCCACACCACATTCGTGGACCTGGCGAAAGCCTTGGACACAGTTAATTGTAAAGGACTGTAGAAAATCATGCAGGAGGTCGAATGTCCTGAGCGATTTACGCATATGGTGCGTCAACTTCAAGACGCGATGATGGCGCGCATCACGGAAAACGGCGCAATCTCCGAGACATTCACAGTTAGTAATGGAGTGAAACACGGTTGCGTACTCGCTCCTACCCTCTTCAGTGTCATGTTTTCTACCATGCTGATGGGCGTCTACCGTGGTAGGCGCCCGAGATCTGCAACGCCTACAGGACCCACGGGCGCCTTCTCAACAGCCGATGAATGTAGACTCCGACGCGTATCTCCACAGTTACTGTCCACGATCTGCTCTTTGCCGGCAACTGTGCACTCAACACTACGACCAAGGAGGACATGCAGTGGAGCATAGATCTTTTCGCCGCCGAGTGTGCCAACTTCGGCCTGACAATCAACACGGACAAAACGGTGGTCATGCAGCGACAGTCACCGAACGCTGAACAGAGTGTCCCTCGCTTCCACGTCAACGGCACCGAACAAAAGACTGTGGACAACGTCATATACTTAGGTAGCGTAATGTCCAGCTGCATCAGAATCGGCGATAAAATGGCTCACAGGATCTCCACAGGCAGCCAAGTCTTCGGCCGGCTACAGAACTCCGTGTGGAATCGCTACGGCTTTCAACTGGACACCAAACTGAAGATGCGTAAGGTCGTCGTCCTAACCACACTTCTGTACGGTGCGCAGACCTGGATCATCTATGCAAGCAAAGCCAAGCAGATCAGCCACTTTCATCTCAACTGCCTCCGCAGATTACTAAAGCTGAGATGGCAAGACAGGATCTCGGACACAGAAGTCCTAAAACAGACCGGGGCCCTCAGCATCCAGGGCAACTGCTACTACAGTGAGTGAGTGCGCTGAGGCAGCGCATAACAGGCACGATTTTCGGATAGACGTCCAATCGACCGAAAAATTGACACCCACTTGGATTGTCCGGTTTTACGCCATTCCCTACCAAATTCACTTGAGTGGGCTCAAAATGGACGACGCTTTTGCAACAAATCAGAAAGTGGACCATTTAAATGTCAGACAAGTGTAGTGGGTGACAAGTCTCATGAAATGTTGGCGGAAATTCTGAAATGCGTTTTCGATTTGGAGGGATTACTTAGGTGGGGTTGTAGTACTGATTATCATGCGGCATAATCCAGTAATATTTCGGACTTGCCAGGATGTCGGATTTCGTATGCACTTCCTTTCGATCTCCTGTAAAACCTAAACTCGGAAAAAATGACTACTTAAGTAGCATGCATTTTTCGCATTGATTTTGGATGTTCTTATAAATTCAAATATATTTTATAGGAAACCTGCACAAAAATATGACTTCTACGACTCATTTGGTGGCACGTCACGTCGGTTTTACATCTTATGCTTGAGGACAGGATATATTAAGAGTTTAAAAAAGTTTTTAATTTACGAATAATTTTAAGCCAGATCAGCAGTTGCATTAGCGTTTAGCGATTTTATTCTACAAGACGCATGCGTTCCGTGTAAGGAAAATCATTTATTCCTCTATGACTTTAAAAAATTCCATTTAGGGTTCATGAAATTTTGTAATAAGTGCGGACTATGTTGTACATTTCATGCGGAGCAACGGTAAACAGACAGAATGTACATCACACGGTCTTAAAAATCGTATGATTAACAACTTTTTAAAACCTACATATAACCCTCTTTGGGCATAAAATGCGAAGTCGACATGATTTGCCACCAAAAAGTATAAGAAAGTATATTTTATGGTAGGGGGCGCTCACCGATCGTTCTTACCGAGCTCACTCGTTCCGTTGCTCCTTAAGGGCTCTCTCTCGAGCCCAACCAGCAGCCGCACAGCGGCGCATGATATATAGGCAGAATACTATTACCGACAAAGACAAGGGAGACTGGAATGGCCACTTCTGGCTTATAAGCCGTCGTCAGCCAGCCATACCCAAGCCCGAGGTGTGGAACACCTGAGCCTCGAACTCGCGACCTGTTGGTTTAGAAGTTCACGCCTCTACCCACCGGGCCACGAGCCCGTTGCCCTGTCGGTTTTCGATCGGAAATATACAATGGTAGGGGGCGCTCACCGATCGTTCATACGGAACTCACTCGTTCATGGCGAGTCCGAAATATGATAGTTTTAAGCCGCGAGATAATCAATATTACAACCCCACCTAAGTAATCCTTACAAATCGAAAACGCATTTCAGAATTTCGGCCAACATTTAATGAGATCGGTCACTCGCCGTACGCTCCAGCAGCCATCTCGTGAGAAAAGAAGATACACGCCTACCAAAATAAATCCTCTATGGTAATGTCGCCACAGGCTCTCGCCGACAGTGAGGTCCAACCCGTTGATACAAGTGAACTATAATGAACTCGCTGAAACGACTCAAGATCAAGTCGGAGACCTGGGGGGGGGTCTCGCTCAGAGCGAATTGGCCTGGAGGAGAGCAGTGAAGACTGGCTCAGCAATCTACGAAGTCAATCGGATCGCCGCCGCTAAAGCCAAAAATGAGGCTAGCAAGTCACAAGTGCTTCAACTCAACAACGCCAACAGTTAGCCTCTTCCAACATGCCCGCGCTGCCCGCTGACCGTTTTTAATATCTGACTGCTTATTCTATAACTGTGAACTGAATACTGTACAGAATCCGTCTACTTGTTCTGGAATTTACGTGAAAATTTATTTTTACTTATTCTGAAAGTATTCTCACAGGTACTCAGTAAAACAACTTATTTATTTATGTCACGTTTCAGCAAACTATGGCCCTTGCAGCCTGGTGTGTGCTGGCAGTTCCCGGTTACCTGGTTCTCTGGCGGTAGATGCGCTTGCGCTTCCGCTGGGTATACAGGCTGTGTGAAGGGTTGCCCGGTGACTTGTGTCATCCTCTTTCTCGCCGGGCTTGGAAGGCTGCCAACTGACGAATAACTTGGACCTCGCAGTCGGTCCAGTATGTGTGTATATGTGGAGTGGCGGATGTATTGCCTGGGAGTCAGAATTCAATGGGCCCTTCATAATGTGGCCTCTATGGCGTGGTGGTACACCTAGGTGCAGGTTGATTCGCCGTGCCATCCGCCTGCGTCCTCTCTCACATCCAGTTTTCTTGACTGTCTCGACATCGGGTCCAGGTGACAAAAGAGGAGGGAGTGCAGTAGATGTTGTGCAAGTCTGTCACCAGTATAAATTACTTCATGCACAAACCACCGTGTTTCCTCTCACAACGCTGTGGAGCACACGGTGGACATCGTCGGTCACGACGGTCGAACCGTCATGAGGTAGTAAACAACCTTTTCTCCAACTCAAAGCGTCGGTGAACCGCAAGCCTACCCCCACCTCCAGAACACGCAAGTCGTTTAGG